CTCCCTGCGTCTCCAGTGAGTCCTGTACTCAGCACTTCCTCACCACCCTCAGTCAAGCTTGCTCATCCTCCCGGGTCTGGAAGGGTCAGGAGAAGTTGGCTGGACCTGATCCCTGGTACTTATTCCATCTTCACTCTCATCAAAACACCCTCCTTTCCCAGGCCCACGCCACCGCACACACCTTCCTCGCCCCAAGCCCTGGCTGCCCCCTCCACGGAACACCTACTGTTGCATGGCAGCCCTGCCACCCTGCTGGTGGTGTCGACATCCACCGCCTGAGCCAGCCCCACCTGCTCCCGCAGCAACCCAATGTCCTATTTTCCAACTGTCTTGGTCTACTCCACTTCAGCTACCCACTCCCAGCAGCACCACCCGGCAGCCTCGCCTGCAGCTGCCCACAGCTCCCGCAGGCTCAGCTGGGCCCACCAGTGGCTTCTTCATTGTTCCTCCCCGTGCCCCACAGGCAGTGTTGCCGCGGGCTTCTTTAAGCATGCCATCACCGCCAGAATGTCCACACCGCTCCCTTCCTATCCAGCTCAGGGTCCTGGTCCCAGCGGCTTCTCCCAGTACCCACTGCCTGTCCTTTGGCCACGACACCTGGCAAAAAGCCCAGCCAGCATGAACCAAAAGCCCACCTCTCTGAACACACCCAGACCTATGTGAAACGCTAGAAGGGAAAAAGCCAACAGCCAAGCTGGACTAGAGTCACCGGGATTCACAAATTCAAGGCGGCCTTGACATTCCTGCTCTTGCCACAGTGACCATTTCCAGCTTTCGCCATCCTCTTTACCCCTCGCTCTGGCATCCCCCTCAGCAGACAGGGACTCCCTTAACTTCCTACTCACACAAATCCACACACCTCTGTCTCACTACTGATGGAGACGTCCCTCCTGTCCGAAGCCAACCTCCTCCTCTACCAGATCCCTCCCGTCAGGATTCCATAACACAGCAGCTCTCCCGTTTGAGAACACACACGCGCACATACGCGCACACACGCACGCACACGCCCACCCCAGCCGCCACTGCCTTCTCACTCCCCTCAGAGCTAGACTGCTTAAAACAGCGGTCTGTTCCAGTTTCAGATGAATTAGATGATTTCTGAGATTTGTTTCAAGCAATCCAGTGGAGAGGAAGGGGGCAAAGGGGGGCAAAGTTGTGTTGTTTAAGCTGAGCAATGGTGTGTGTGTGGGGGGGTGCTACGTGTTCTATTTAAACTCTACACGTATGTGACAGGGACGCAGGAGGGTCAGAGCCAGTGAGGGTCAGCCAGGGAGACTGAGGGTGCCACATGTTCTGTTTAAACTCTACACTTATGTGACAAGGACACAGGAGGGTCAGGGCCAGCGAGGGTCAGCCAGGGAGACTG